TGTCACTCACCTCAGCATACTTTGATAATTTTGATTCCATCTCAACTAAAATGTCTTCATATGCTTCTGACATTGTTTTCAATGTATTGTTGAGGTACTACAAAAATCAGAACAATTTACTCACATAAAGGACAGTTCATCTCCGAGTAAGTATTCAATATTTCCTCCTATAGTTACACAATTACAGTAAACTGTGAAATACTTTAATTTGTAAGAGTAACAAAATCAGGAAAAATCAGAAATTTAGCAGAGTAAACTTCACTACACAAAAATTGGGGGAGTTTCAGCTAATTTCCATGGAAACATGAGATCACCCAGTTTGGAGAGTTTTGACACATAATGAATCCCAGTTGTATTGTATTTTGCCCATTCCCCAAAATGGTCATTAGAGTATTGTTTAACACAAAGACGTAGTTTCCATAGAAACAAGTTTTGGGCCACATCCATGAAAAAAAGAGCTGAAATAATTGAGAATGATTTGTAATTGTCTCACCTCAACTAGAGTGATAATTCTACCATATTTCAGTGCAAATAAAGCAATTTCTTGGTGCCTGGCAGCTAATAGCGGTGTATCAAACTGAAAGAAATTATTAATAGTCATATCGAGTTTTGAAGAGTACTAGGGTCTCTAGTTGCTAGGAAACTATGTACACTTTCAAAATCAGTTTTCATGGGAGAGGATTGATATATCTTGTCAACATGACCAGTATTTACACTCCAAACTGTAGTTTTTTATCATACAAGTTGAATGCAGCCATCTAAGTGCATGAATATTTGTGAAAAATATCAAGTTCACCAGGACAATTAACAAGACTTGGGACACCTTAATAACCAGGGCAACTGCGAGTATTGAAACTAGACAAACTATTGAAAAATACCCTTCTTTCTAATTTGAAATCTAGACAAGCCTTGTAACAACCACAAAAATTAGTCTATTACATACTTCATTGTAACTTGTCATTGTAACCATAGTAACACTACAACATAAAATTATTGAAGTGATAAATCCAAAATTAAAAGATTTCAACATTGAAAGGTGTCAAAACTTCAGCGTACTTACAGTAATGAAGTTAACATTGTAGTTAACCTGGCTCTGTTCATCGTTATTTGGAGCAAAAAGACAAGATTCTTCCTCAAACACACAGTGTAAAGACTTTAAATCAGTACTCAAAGCAGCAGATAACACCCGATTTATCTGGAATACAAATATGAAAACTCAGAAATGTCACTGCAAGATAGTAGTAATTTCCTAAAATCCAAGACAACACTGGCAAAATAATTGAAGAAAAAATTATCATAGAAAATTACAAAATATTTTAACAGGGGTTCTCAAGACAGGAAACATACTAGTTTAGTTACTTTTTGTCAAATTCTGATATCGGTCAAGTGAAAGAAAACCATAATTTAATCTGAGACAGCTACTCGCATACATGTAGATAAGTGCACATGTCAAGTAAAATAAGTATTATCAAAAATAATTTGAGAACGCACACAGTGAAATCTACACAAACCTAAAAATCAGAATAGGGCCTTCTATTGGGCAGGAATCGCGTATATACTGGATACTTACCTGGTTGGATGTCTCTTTGGATAATTTAGTCACTGCTATTGGACAGATACCAAATGCATATAAATGAACATCTCCAATCTTGGTACCAACTATTAGGATATTCAAACTGCACAGAAATTAAATTGTATTGGGTAATTATTATGCAAATTTAATTGAATCATATTCACATGAAATATTAATTTCGTTATCATTTAATCTCACGTTGTTCTAGGTTTCCATCTGCTAGTTTCAAAAATGTCCTAGGTGATAAGATTATAATATTTACTACCTATATACTGAGATATTTCAGAGAATCTTAAGACATTAAATTAATATTGAAACCTATCATCAGTTGTCTTCTATTAAAAATTCAAGAATGTTTCCCAAGTATGGCATTGAGGGCGCTGTCTACAAATATGTCATTGTGGTTACTCCTCATCAGCTAATGAA